CAAGCACACTTCTGTGAGCTGTTTTCAGGTAAACTTGCAGCTTTGGGACAAGTGATTCAGACCCTGGGTCTGTGTTGGAGCAGACGGGAGTGTCTGGCTCAGCAAGACAGGGTGCTGGAGTCCTTAGCTGGCAGGGAAAACAGGAGCAGGGGTAGTCTTGGTACATTGGGTGGCAGCTCCCAAGGGGGTTTCTGTGATCCAGTCCATCACAGTGGCATATAAAGTATGCAAAACTTGTGGCAGATGTCCAGTGCAGGTACTCATTATGGAAGGGATGTGATTATTGGATCAAATGGATTGGAAAAGGATTTGAAGGGAAAGCATCCCTTACGGGAGCTGAGGAAGGAGGGTTTGGGGCTCCTACATGAGATACAGTGGGAAGCCAAACTGCTTCGTTTTATAGCCCCCTTAGTCTTCTTAGGAGGGTAGGGTGACAGTTCTTGGCAATTGGATGGCAGGGGCCATGTTGGGGGTTATGAGGAAATGATAACCTTCACTATGCAATTTATTGCTAGGTACTCCCAAATATTTTAAGTGAATGATGTTGCAGCCTAATTAAACCACATCCATTCCTGAACTATTCCAAAATCCTTGTTGCCTTATGGCTTGACTGGACTGGACTGCAGTTAGATATTTCCAGCTGTCAGCTGGGATGGATTAGCAAGGACTAATGCTTAAATAATACATCTTAATAACTGAATAGACAGTATCCAGTGTTACTTTACTGATGTATATTCTACATCAGTGATTTAGATAATGTCATAGAGAGTACACTTATAAAGTTTGCGGATGCTACAAAGCAGGGAGGGGATGCAAGTTCTTTGGAAGATAGGATTAAAATTCAAAATGATCTGGACAAACTGGAGAAATGGTCTGAAGTACATAGGATGAAATTCAATAAGGACAAATGCAAAATACTCCACTTAGGAAGGAACAATCAATTGCAAACATACAAAAATGGGAAAGACTGTCTAGGAAGGAGTACTGCAGAAAGGGATCTGGGGGTCATAGTGTATCACAAGCTAAATATGAGTCAACAGTGTAACACAGTTGCAAAACAAGCAAACATTCTCGTATGTATTAGCCAGGAGTGTTGTAAGCAGGACAAGAGAAGTTCACCTCTACCCCAGTATAACGCGACCCCGATATAACATATATCCACTAATTTGGATATAATGCGGTAAAGCAGCGCTTCGGGGGTGCGGGGCTGCGTGCTCCGGCGGATCAAAACAAGTTCGATATAACGCGGTTTCACCTATAACGCAGTAAGATTTTTTTTTGGCTCCCAAGGACAGCGTTATATCAGGGTAGAGGTAATTCTTTCACTCGTACTGTGCGTTGATTAGGCTGCAACTGGAGTATTGTGTCCAGTTCTGGGTGCCACATTTCAGGAAAGATGTGGACAAATTGGACAAAGTACAGAGAAGAGCAACAAAAATGATTAAAGGTCTAGAAAACATGACCTATAAGGGAAGATTTAAAAAAAACTGTGTTTGTTTAGTCTGGAAAAGAAGACAGAGGGGACATACCTTTTCAAGTACATAAAAGGTTGTTACCAGGAGGAGGGAGAAAAATTGTTCTCTTTAACCTCTGACAATAGGACAAGAAGTAATGGGCTTAAATTGCAGCAAGAGCGATTTAGGTTGGACATCTGGAAAAACTTTGTCAGGATGGCTAAGCACTGGAATAAATTGCCTCGGGAGGTTGTGGAATCTCCATTATTGGAGATTTTTAAGAGCAGGTTAGGCGAACACCTGTCAGGGATGATCTAGATAATACATAGTCCTGCCATGCGTGCAGGGAACTGGACTAATTGACCTCTCAAGGTCCCTTCCAGTCCTATGATTCTATGCCTGCCTCATTTATTGTAGAAGTGGAAAGGTGTGTGGTGAATGAGACAGGGCATTGCAGTAAGAAAAAGGACCGTCTCATAACTAAGGCAGTTGACTGATGCATTGGAGAGTTGGAAGCTATCCCTGCTTCTACCACGGAGCTCCTGTGTGATGCTGGACAGATCTGTTAAACTTTTTGTGGCAGCAGGGGGGAGGGGAGCACTAATTGTGGTGTTCATTTTCTGGTACCTGAGTTGAGACCTAGGGATTGATTTGCAGAACTGAAGACTATGGGAGCAGTACTTTGAACATATTAAGTGCTATGAGATGCTGAATGCTCTGAAAAATCAAGGCCTTGGTGTTTAGAATTGGGTACCCAAAATTTGGTGGATACTTTTCATCTTAGTCTTTTTGTGCCTCAGTTCTCCATCTGTAAAATAGGGATCATAATGCCTCTTCACCTTATAGGGGAATTGTGAAAATAAATTGTTTGTGAAGCTCTGATACGCTAGAAAACTCCATGAGGAAATTAATAATTCTGCCTTAAGAACAGGGCTTGAAGAGTGTGCAATAAATACAGACTTGGGCTACACATTGAACAATGAGAAGACAAAATAGTGAATCCTGTGCAATGAGGCTTGGGTCCTGTGGAATAAATAGTATGTTATGTTATTAAAGACCAGCATAGTTCATGCATACATGTGGATAGAATTAAGGTTGCATTGACAACTGTAAATCTGGAATTTTCTACCTTTGAAGTACTTGACTTTGCAACCTAAATAACTTTCTTTTAACAGTTGTTTTTATATGCAGTTTGCTAGGTTTTTAAAAAGGTAAAACAGTTTCTCTTGTGTGCAGCTGTAATAATTTCCCAATCATGCATTATCAGCAGGGTTTGAACCCTGAATCTTTGGCTCTGCAACACACACTGCTACCACTTGAGTGTCAGGCCTTAATTACATTGGCTAGCAGTAGCAGAAGTGTGTTTTTGTGGGGGTGAGGTGTGCTACCAACACCATGTGTGCTGGGTAAAGTAGGTGGTCGGGGGAGCCCTGCCTGGATCTGTTTTCCCATCTCCTTTCCAGGAACTGTGGGGCTCCTGTCCCATGTGTAGCCTCCAGAGGAGGAGGAGATGAGAAACTGGTACCATGTGCCAGGTCTAGAAAAGGAGTTTGGTCAGATGGGGTAGCCTGGTTTGGCGTGCTCGCCTCCTCCCCCACTCTACTACAGGTGCTCTGGCAGCTCCGGGGTGTTCCTAGTACAGTGTATGGTGATGGTGCTTAGGTGGTAGCACAGGCCTAGCTCTTCAGAATGTTCAGTTGTCATATTGGCAGGCTGCCAGAATTTTCCTGCACAACAAGTGAGAGAGAGGCAATATTTAATAGTAACATTCAACTAAACCTGAATGGAATTTCCTGGGACAAGAAAAGTCACTTCTCTAGCCCGAGGCTTTTTCCTAACTGAATTTCAACGGCTGGCTGCTTACAATGGAGGTATTAAGATGTTTCAAGAAAAGGTCCCAAGAATATTTTATAATGGAAAAAGTTAGGCAGTTTAAATAGAGAAGCCACTATCAGCTCTTCCTATAAATTTTACATGTGTCGGGAAGACTTTCATGCTTGAGTTTGAAATAATACCTCTCCTCTAAATGAAGTAGCCACTGGAGACTAGATGGTTCAGGAGACTGATAATGGGATATAGAACCTTTAATCTGTAGGGTTGCTAAGTCCAGTCTAGTGCAGGGTAGGAGTGACCAAAAGTAGTTATGTCTGACAGCTGTTTAGTGATGTAAAATGAATGATTGCAGCCCTGCTCTTAGTGGAAAGGTGTTAATTGCTCAAAAACCTCAATTTTAGCACTCTCAGCAGAGAGGCCAGAAGTTTTATGGGCATGGAGACTCAACTGTTCTTAAAATTGATGACCAGCATAGTAAAAATTGCCCAACTTGCTTAAATGATATTCTTGAATTATGGTTAGCTCTGTGACACCTACCTTTTCCCATGCGCACGCGCACACACTAGGATGAGTGGTAGGGTGGAGGCCATGGCACATGTTTCTTCTGGAAGTATGCTAGATTTGGGATTTGGTAACTTTCCAAGTGCCATTTTAAGATCTATGTTGTGTTCTTTCAGACTTTTAACGTTCTCTTACTTAACTTTAAAAGGGAGTGTCTCTTCTTGACTCTGTTTATTTTGAAGGGCTTGTTTTTGCTTAATGTGGTGCTAATTGTTGGTGAATACTTAGGAGCACATGTAATACACATCGCTAATTTCTAAATGCATATTAGTTTGAAAACAAGGCTGTACTGAGATGACATTGATTATCTTTCTGACTTTTTCATGCATGCTTATCATGAATATGGTATCTGTTTCCTTGTGAATGTATTGATAGATGGGAGACTGCCTCACATTTTCAGTGGATGGTATCAATTTTTAAAATTGTCAAACATTTCCATATAAAAGCAAATAATGATAGTGGTAGTATGAATTACTGAATTAACTCTGAATTATTCTGCGTGCTCCTGATTGTGAAATAACAGTACATTAAGCCAGTGTTTAAAGGCTTATTTAAAACTTTTTTAAAAAATCAAGAAAAGACAGATTCTGTGTAAATTTTTCTTATGCCTTTTGAAATGCTTCAGATGCTTAAGTATTTAAGTTTTATGTGAATTGGTAGAAATGTTAGTTCCTGTTATTTATTGAAAGATGATTGCTCTAATTTTCTGGATGTCACAAATTGATTTTTTTTTCCCTTTTGAAGTAAAGCTGCTTCATTTCTGTAGCTTAGTTTGTTCTAAATAGATGGCAAAGAATAGCATGGTTTAAGAAGATAAATGTCAGGAACGTTTTCTAAAGTAGACATTCAGACTTTTGGATTAATGGGAAAGAAGGTCAATAATTGCATGGATTTCAATAAGCTTGAAAAGAAATGGCATTCCTGTGGTGCTACAATGACTATTAAAATGCTGTGAAATCATTTCAAGATCCTGTTCTCAGCTTCAGTGTCTGATCCATTGTGCAAGAATGACTCAGTAGGGCTGCCAACCTTGTACATATTACAGGAGATAATTGATAAGTCAACTGGTTTTTTTAAGAGTATTTTTAATAGGATATGGATGAATTTCTTAAAGATGAACTTAGTTTTGCTGATTTTTGTTTTATTAAACAGGGCCCTCCAGATTTTCAGCAGCACCCTCCTGGACCAGTTCCTACCAACTTCACCCAAGCCCCAAGAATCCCTCTACAGGACCAGTGGAGAGGCCCACCTCCACCACCTATGCCTCCTCCTCCTCCGCCTCCTCCTCCTCCCCAGGAAAGAGACCCTTTCTTCATGGGAGGTATATAATTTTTATTTTAGAGTATTATACAGGGTGACCTTTTTCATTTCAAATATACTATTTGAATATTCTTCCTTTTCACACAGTATTCCCCTTCTCATATGTGTGGATAGATTAATTCATAGATCTGAAGATCAGAAGGGACCATTATGATTTAGTGTGATCCTGTATTTTGTCATCTCTCAAAAAGCAACCAAATAACATTTTCAGTTTGTTACAGTTCAGATATTAAATATCAACACCATTCCTCCATTCATCTGTGGTTGTTCCCCCATTAACAGTTCTATCTATCTGGAATATTTGGTGCCCTACAAATTTAACTTTCTATGAATTCTGTGCAATCTTTCAGTTAATGTTAAAGTTACAACACAACAAACATGGTGTCAAGTAAAATACAAACATTGAATAAAGTGGCTTGACTAGGTCTTTGCGTGGATTGTTAGTTTTGTTCGGATTGTCAGTGCTTGCATTTCTCTAGTTCTAATTGCTGCTTGGAGTTGTTAGGTGCTTTTGCAGTAGAAATAATAAAAATAACTATTAATGCCAGCTAGTTATCAAATTGTCCTCTTTCTCCCAAGGGTCTGCATCTTCCATTCTAAGGTGGTTCTTAGCAGAAGCAAGAGGAGTATCTCTCATATAACCTTGCGGAGCTGCTCTTCCAACTAAAATATTTTGTAGTTATTCCTCAATCAAATTATCAAGTTACTCTCCTGAAGCTGAAAATATGGCAAGACTGTATTTAAAACACATTTGTATTCATGAGGAGGTTGTCACTTAATTAAATGTTTTGATTTCAACAGATCCAAGATTCCCAAGTCATCATATGTTTGAGCAACGGAGTCCCCCACCTCCACCCCCTCCCCCACTCCTTAACAGTACCCATCCTGTCCCTAACCAGAATCCTCTGCCTTTCAATCAACCTGGACCAGGATATAATCAGCAAGGGCAGCAACCAGTATTTCCCAGAGACAGACCAGTAAGACCAAACATCCAGCCTCAGAATCCTGCCGGAATTCTTCACTTCAGCCAACCAGGTTCAGCAAATCCACGGCCTTTCATGCAACCCAGACAACAATTCTTACAAAACCCAGGACAGCCATTTCTAGCAACACATACACAGCCCAATATGCAGGTATTAATCAATAGTAAAAGGGGCTTATAAGCACTATTTAGAACTTTTGCATTTAGAAAGCTATATTGCGATCATTACGTTCAGCTCATAGCCGCGATCTAACCAAAATGCCTAAGTCTTGTTTGATATTACAAATATGAAGTAGATTTAAGTGTAGTGCCTATTATAGTGTTAGAGAAGCTGATTTTCATCACCATATCAACAACTCAGTTATGAAACTTACACCAATGTATACTTCAAAAGTGAAATTATTAAAATTGCTGTGATTTCTGCTCAACTGCTTACAGCTAATGAGATTAGAAAAGTTCTTAATGACATATTTTGTTCACCCACGGTTCCTTAAATTAATTTACTCCAGGAGAAATATGGAAGTATTGTATTGTTCAAAATGTGTGTTTACAGAGAGAAGTGTATGTATACAAAATAGACATTGCTGGGTTATTTCACCTCTTGTCACAGGTCTTGGGTGCCCTCTGCTGATAAAAAATGAGCTGTGTGTTTTAGGGGACTAGCAATGAGAGAGAAATCAGTATGGCTTCTTAAAAATTAGTTTTTCTTTTAAACTGTTTGTTAAGTAGACAAATGGTTTGTATGACCATGAAAAATATTATGCAAAGACCCTTGAATTTCGGAGGTGGGGGGGATTGTTATAGATTCATGATGCATACACTGTGGATTTTTTCTTAAGAGTAAATATTATATTATGTAAAAAGCAACAAAGAATCCTGTGGCATCTTATAGACTACCAGATATATTGGAGCATAAGCTTTCATGGGTCTGACGAAGTGGGTATTCACCCATGAAAGCTTATGCTCCAATACATCTGTTCCAAGTCTATAACGTGCCACAGGACTCTTTGTTGCTTTTTACAGATCCAGACTAACACGGATACTCCTGATATTATATTCTAATAATTCTTAGAAGCAAGTAGGACAATTAGACTTATTTATTGTAGTCTCATTAATATCATTATTTGAGATTTTTTCACGTTAAGAAGTTGAGCTAAAATCTAAGTACAAATGTTCAGTGACCAGGTGATATCATTACCCTTTACAGCAATTAACAGTCCTCGTTTACCGCAAATACTGTTGCCCCAGGAAAGCCTATATTTCTAGAGCTCCTTACTTACCAGCCAAAATATTGTTGCCATACAAGAACAAATCTGATTGCTTAAGGAGCTTATTTTCCTTAGGATTGAAAAAAATGTGTAGAATGTCTTTTTTTCTTTTTAAAATGTAAAGGGTCCCTTGCACCCTCCTCTACCGCCTCAGCCTCACCATCAGCAACAACAACACCAGCACCACCAGCAGCAGCACCAACAACAGCAGCAGCACCAGCAGCATCATCAGCATCAACATCAACATCAGCATCACCATCATCTTGCTGGTCCACCACAGCCTTTGATTCCCATTACCCAGCCACAGTTCAGACCTCATTTGCAGACTTCACAGCAACAGGCAAATAACAATAGAATGCAATGTCAACAGCGGCAGGGTCCAATGAATCCAAGACATGTAAGTACCAGTAAATACTGGCATACATCAGTGTTCCCTCATTTTGTGTGTGTGTGAAGATTGTGTATCTGAGCTCAAGTTTAAAACCTTTGAGCATAGGCTCTCCCAAGGACAGAACAAGGAGCAATGGTCTCAAGTTGCAGTGGGGGAGGTCCAGGTTGGATATTAGGAAACACTATTTCACTAGGAGGGTGGTGAAGCACTGGAATGCGTTATCTAGGGAGGTGGTGGAGTCTCCTTCCTTGGAGGTTTTTAAGGCCCGGCTTGACAAAGCCCTGGCTGGGATGATTTAGTTGGGAATTGGTCCTGCTTTGAGCAGGGGGTTGGACTAGATGACCTCCTGAGGTCCCTTCCAACCCTGATATTCTATGATTCTATGATTCTATGAAAGTCACAGGGGTCT